TCCCTGCTGATCCTGGCTCCCCCACCTCCCGCCCCTCCCCCCTCCACCGCAGGCCTCAGCCGAGCACTTAGCCCAGGGAGGGGTTGCTCTGGGGAGCTGCCCTGGGTGCCCGAAAGTGCGAAAGTGGGCTCTGCCTCCCGAGCAATGTCCTGGGTTAAGCTGGCGGGGGGGTGCCCCTCTGGGACAGGAAGCTCCCAGAAGGGATGTGGGGTTGGCAGATCGAGGTCTGCCACTGCCACCTGGGGCCTGAGCCTGACCTGCCACCAGCAGCATGGGACCCTTCCCTGGCCCTGGTGTCCGCTTTCCCCTCTGGGAAGGGCTGGGATGGGGTGGAGCAAGGGCCCCTCGTTCTTCCAGTTCTGAAGTTGTAGGATTCGGAGTCCATGGAGGCGCCCCGAGCCTCGTGGCCCTGGAGGACAAGGGCATAGAGGCCAGCTGGATAAACCAGTGGCTTCTGGGGGTGGTTGCCGAGGCCCAGAGACGGGGCGGGGGGGGGCGTGGAATTTGCTGAGAGTCACTCATGTTCTGTGGCTCTGAACGGAGACCCCAGCTGAGCTGTGCCCTTCAGACCTGTCAGGGCTTGCTGACCCTCCTTCCTCCTCACCATCCAGGGTGTCCCCACAACAAGGGACATCTGTAGCCAGCCAGACTGGGGGCCCACCCCAAGACCCCTCTGCAGTACGCTGCACCCCCCCAACTTTGCCCCCCAACTTTTCTGTGTTGGCTGGAGAGAGGGGGGCCTGCCCCTGCTCGGGCCAGAGGTCTCTTGTTCCTGCCACACCAGTGTGCCCCCTGGGCTGGAGCGGGGGGCGGGTTGGGGGGGGCAGGCCCAGTGCATGGGTTGGGGAGGAGAAGCTGGGTCAGCTGGGAAGGGGGGAAGCTGGGCCAGGCTCTCCCAGGTTTAACACCCCTGGCACAGGGCAGCAAAGGCCTCTGCTTCCGACAGCTGCTTCCTGCTGCTGGCCTCTCCCTGCGAGCTGGGCACTGGCGGCATTTCTGCCCCGGTGGGTGGGCAGCAGGCTCAATGCCCTCCATCATCTCCCTGAGCCTCTCTGCTGATTGGTTCCTGTCTCAGACGCTCGTTCTCCATTCATCTCCATCCTCTGTCTCTCCCTGCTTGGCTGTCTCCGTATTTTGCTTTCCTATCCTGCCTGGCCTTCTATTTGCAGCTCCCTCACTCCTTCCTTTCCCTCTGCCATCCCCCACCCCTGCCACCGCCCCAGGGGTGGGGGTAGGGCCCTGCTCCTGCTGCTGGCATGTGTGCTGGGGGATCCCCAGGACCATGCGGACCCCCAGCTCCAGGTGTGAGCCAGCAGCCCTCCCCCATACCTCAAGTAGGTGTGCAGCCGGGCAGGGGACCAAGTGCTGCTCTCAGCTCCTTCTTCCCCTTGCCGTCCCCCTTCCCTGGCTGCGTCAGGCCTCAAGGGGTGGTGGGCAGGCGGCCCAGGGACCGGGACCGAGTGGCTGACGCACACACGGGAAGGGGTGATGGGGAGCCTCCTCCCCTTCGGTCTGAGTCATGGAAGGGGTGGGAGGGTGAGGGGAGCTGGGCCCCGGGCCAGGCCATCCTGGAGACCAAGAGGTGCTGGAAAGAGGGCCATGGGCAGGGTCACCTTGAGTTGCTGGGGTGGGGGCTTTGTCTACCCTGGACTGTTTGGGGAAGGGAAGAGGTCAGAAAGGACTAGCCCTGCTCCCTAAGCCTGGGATCCTTTTCCTAGCAACCCCCTACCACCATCAGCCTCTTCACATCTCCTCAGCATGGCCTTGGATTTCCAGAAGCTCCAGCCAGCTCAGCTCTGCCCTGCACCCCCTGGGCCCGGCTGGGGGTGCTAGCTTGAGCAGCTCAGATCTGAAGGGCGTGGGGAATGGGGTGGGGGACACTCTGTGTGGCTCAGTTGCACAGGTGCGCACGTATGTTAACAAGGGGAACTCACATGTTCTGAAACATGTTGACATATCAGCAGGTATGTGTCTGCGTCCCTGCAGATGCCCCTACATGCACCTTTCCCCATTGCTCCACACGTAGGTGAGCTCACCTTCACCCCAGAGCACCCCCAGTGGCGGGCTGCACATGCACGGATCCTGGGCTCTCGCTTGGGCATGAGTGTGCGCACACGGCTGCCTGCACGTCCGTCTACTTGCACGCGTCTGCTTGCACACCTCTGTGCCGGTGTTGTTGTTGTTGTTGTTTTTTAAAGATTACTTATTTATTTATTTGACAGAGAGAGAGAGAGAGAGATCACAATTAGGCAGAGAGGCAGGCAGAAGGAGAGGAGGAAGCAGGCTCCCTGCTGAGCAGAAAGCCCGATGCGGGGCTCGATCCAAGGACCCCAAGATCATGACCTGAGCCGAAGGCAGAGGCTTTAACCCACTGAGCCAACCAGGCGCCCCTGCGCCAGCCTTCTGAGCCAGTGCACACCTGCGCGCGTACTGGCATACAAATGTGGTCCCCGGACGTTCCCAGCAGGGGCCGGAGGTGCAGACGGAGGGCTCCCTGACCTGGCGAGCTTGGCCCCTCAGCTCTCCCAGTACAAGCTTGTTGCCAGTGGCAGGGGAGGAAACTGAGTCCCTAAGGAGCCATCAGCCACGCCAGATGGGAGTGCTGAGCTGTGCAGCCCAGCCAGGGACAGAAATGCTCTGTGCCGCCTGGGCGCCAGTCCCTGCCCGATCTCCTTGTGCCCCCTCATCACCCCCCCTCCCCCAGTCCCCATCTGGCCCCTCAGCCCGAACCAACCTTGCAGAGGACTGGGAGCTGTGAGTTGGCCTCACCTAGAGGTCCGGATCATCACAGCTTCCGTTGCCATGTCTGCCTTTAATCCGAGAGGTCATCGAATGTCCTGTTTGCTTGCCCCCTTTTCCACAGAAACTGCCTGCCTGGACTTCTTCAGGGACTGTTTCCGTCCTTGCTTCCCTTTCCTCTCTTCAGCCCTCTGGGGCTCCGGGCTGTAAATTGGTTTTGCTTTAACAGCAAAGATTTAATACATTTTTTTTTTTTTTCTTTTCAATGCACTCTCTCTCCTGGAGTTTCCCAGGAGGAGGGGCGTGAGGCAGAGGTGGCTCTTGTGAACGGTGTCTGGCTTTCTTTGTCCAAATGTGGATTTCTCCGGTCTGGTCTCCATAGCTCTGGCCACTGCCCAGGGCGAGGGGAGGGCACACGGGGCTCTTCCTGCAAATCGAGGGAGCCTTGTGTGGGAGCTGGGGCCAGGCCACATCAGCTGAGTGGCCCCTGTCTGGCTTGCTGGGCGATTGAGGCAGGTGTCCCCTGGTCGGGGGCTCAGTGACCCCCCCCCGAAAATGAGGGGCTGCCGGCTGTGAGCCCTGTGCTACCAACGCTGGTTCTCTGCATCTCGGGCGCGGGCAGCATGGCTCGCCGTACTTCTTCCCCATGAGACGGCTGGGCAGGACCTGGTCCCCACTTCAGTGTGGCAGAACGTTCAGAGATGGTTCGATCCCTCTGGCTGATTGGGCTGGATAGAGGGGGCTCTAGACCTCCTGACTCCTGGTGCCTAGAGATCCTTGATCCTCACCCAGGCTGTGCTGTGTGACTAGGGGCAAGTCCCTTGCCCCTCTCTGGGCCTCTGACTCTCCAGCCGCAGAGGGGATGCGGGGTTTCGGCCACACTGTTCGGGATGCTGCCAGCTTCTCCGCCTGCCTGAGACCTTGTACTACAAGATCGGGGCCCAATAGTGGAAAGCGCTTTGGGGAGGTGATATTGGGGGGGGTGTGTCTGGCTTCCCAGACTCTCGTCCTCTCTCCCTTGGCTCTGCTGCCACGTGTGGAAGAAGCTGTCCCCGTGCCCTCCCTCTGTGGGAGACCCCCAGCTTGGGGGGGGGCCACAGCCATGCTGCTCTGCTCCCCCTCCCCCATGGAAGCTGAGACAAGGGGATTATTTTTGGAACAAGAGCGGTTACACAACAAGTGAATTATTTATCTTTGGGCATGGAGGGGAGGAGGCATTTTGCTAGGCTTCTTAATTCCTCTCCTGGATTGGAAGGTTCCTGCCTCGTTACGGGGTCATGTGCATACGGGCCTATTTGTCCAGCATAAGGCCGTCCGTGGGCATGCTGCGGTGTTCTGGCTCATGGGAGGGCATGTGGGTCTCTGTGCTGGCAGGTGGACGAGTGTGGACAGGAGTGCTGGGGAGTGTGTGTGTGTTGTGTCTGTGCGTGTGCACACACGCACCTGACCTGTCACTCTCCAGTCTCCCTTCTCTGCCCACCATCCTCAAATTCTGTCCCCCTGTCCCTACTCCTTGTTTCTTCTGTGTCCTTCCCTCCAGACCTCTTGGTCCCTTCTCCCTCTCTTGCCACCCCCCACCCTCCCTTCTTTTACATAACAGCGACCCCCCCCCCCCCCCCCCCCCCCCACCCAACACCCCCCCCCCCCCCCCCCCCCCCCCCGCCCTGAGCTTGCTGCTGGCACCAAGGACCCCCAGTAGGAGGGGGTAGAGAAGGGACAGGGGCCCGTGCTGGAGCTTTAGTGGGGCTGTTCTGAGTTTCCACTGATCTGTCACTCCCTCTCGGTGCTGCCTTTCAGGAGCCAGGTGACAGATGGGTCTCGTCCTTCCTGCCCCGTCTCTCGTGCTCCCTCCTCGGAGCTTCCCTCTCCAGCTGCCCGTGGGAATCGTGGGAATCGTCTGAAGTTCTGAGCCCAGAACCAGAGGAGGAGGAAGAGAAGGAAGAGGAGGAGGAGGAGGGAGAGGAAGTCAAGTCTTGAGAGCCTGTGCACCTTCCCAGAGACAAGCGGTGGGGGTGTGTCCCGCTGTGTGTCCCTGTCCCAGTGGCCCGCACCTGCTGCTAGCACCCACCAAGGACTCCCCCATCCCACTCCCCACCACACGGTTGGCGCCGGCCGTGTCTGCCTCACCAGGGGCCCCTGTGCCAGGGGTCGCCCCCAAGATGGTGGCGGCCCCAGGGAGGACTGTGCCGCCAGCCCCAGCCTCCCGCTGCTAGGTCCTCCCCCCCCACGTCCCGGCCCCCCTCTCTACGCCCCCCCAGCCCGGCCTTCCCCGGAGGGTGGGGTGGGGGGCTGTGGCCAGCGCCATGCTGCGCCTGGGGCTGTGCGCCGCCGCGCTGCTGTGCGTGTGCCGGCCGGGCTCCGTGCGCGCTGACTGCTGGCTCATCGAGGGCGACAAGGGTTACGTGTGGCTGGCCATCTGCAGCCAGAACCAGCCGCCCTACGAGACCATCCCGCAGCACATCAACAGCACCGTGCACGACCTGCGCCTCAATGAGAACAAGCTCAAGGCCGTGCTCTACTCCTCGCTTAACCGCTTCGGGAACCTCACGGACCTCAACCTCACCAAGAACGAGATCTCGTACATCGAGGACGGCGCTTTCCTGGGCCAGTCGAGTCTGCAGGTGCTGCAGCTCGGCTACAACAAGCTCAGCAACCTGACGGAGGGCATGCTGCGCGGCATGGGCCGCCTGCAGTTCCTCTTCGTGCAGCACAACCTCATCGAGGTGGTGACGCCCGCCGCCTTCTCCGAGTGCCCGAGCCTCATCAGCATCGACCTGTCCTCCAACCGCCTCAGCCGCCTGGACGGCGCCACCTTCGCCAGCCTGGCCAGCCTCATGGTGTGCGAGCTGGCCGGCAACCCCTTCAACTGTGAGTGCGACCTCTTCGGCTTTCTGGCCTGGCTGGTGGTCTTCAACAACGTCACCAAGAACTACGACCGCCTGCAGTGCGAGTCCCCGCGCGAGTTCGCCGGCTACCCGCTGCTGGTGCCCCGGCCCTACCACAGCCTCAACGCCATCACCGTGCTCCAGGCCAAGTGCCGCAACGGCTCGCTGCCCGCCCGGCCCGCCAGCCACCCCACGCCCTACTCCACCGACGCCCAGAGGGAGCCTGATGAGAACTCGGGCTTCAACCCCGACGAGATCCTCTCGGTGGAGCCCCCGGCCTCGTCCACCACGGACGCGTCAGCGGGACCCGCCATCAAGCTGCACCACGTGACCTTCACCTCGGCCACCCTGGTCGTCATCATCCCGCACCCCTACAGCAAGATGTACGTCCTGGTCCAGTACAACAACAGCTACTTCTCCGACGTTATGACGCTCAAGAACAAGAAGGAGATCGTCACGCTTGACAAGCTGCGGGCGCACACCGAGTACACGTTCTGTGTGACCTCGCTGCGCAACAGCCGCCGCTTCAACCACACCTGCCTGACCTTTACCACGCGGGACCCCGTCCCGGGCGACCTGGCGCCCAGCACCTCCACCACCACCCACTACATCATGACCATCCTGGGCTGCCTCTTCGGCATGGTCATTGTGCTGGGCGCCGTCTACTACTGTTTGCGCAAGCGGCGGATGCAGGAGGAGAAGCAGAAGTCGGTCAAGGTCAAGAAAACCATCCTGGAGATGCGCTACGGGGCGGACGTGGACGCCGGCTCTGTCGTCCACGCCGCCCAGAAGCTGGGCGAACCCCCTGTGCTGCCCGTGTCCTGCATGTCGTCCATCCCTTCCATGATCGGGGAGAAGCTGCCCACCTCCAAGGCGCTGGAGGCCGGGCTGGACACCCCCAAGGTGGCCACCAAGGGCAACTACATCGAGGTGCGCACGGGTGCGGGCGGGGATGGCCTGGCCCGGCCCGAAGACGACCTCCCGGACCTGGAGAACGGCCAGGGCTCGGCCGCCGAGATCTCCACCATTGCCAAGGAGGTGGACAAGGTCAACCAGATCATTAACAATTGCATCGATGCCCTCAAGCTGGACTCGGCTTCGTTTCTGGGGGGAGGAGGCGGCGGTGGGGACCCCGAGCTGGCCTTCGAGTGCCAGTCCCTCCCCGCAGCCGCCGCCGCTGTGTCCTCGGCCGCCGCCCCCGGGGCGCTGGAGCGTCCCAGCTTCCTCTCGCCCCCCTACAAGGAGAGCTCCCACCACCCGCTGCAGCGCCAGCTGAGCGCGGACGCAGCCGTGGCCCGCAAGACCTGCAGCGTGTCCTCCAGCGGCTCCATCAAGAGCGCCAAGGTCTTCAGCCTGGACGTGCCCGACCACCCGGCTGCCGCGGGGCTGGCCAAGGGCGACTCCAAGTACATAGAGAAGGGCAGCCCCCTCAACAGCCCGCTGGACCGGCTCCCGCTGGTGCCCGCGGGCGGCGGCGGGGGTGGCGGGGGCGGTGGGGGCGGCGGCGTCCACCACCTGGAGGTGAAGCCCGCCTACCACTGCAGCGAGCACCGGCACAGCTTCCCAGCCCTGTACTACGAGGAGGGCGCCGACAGCCTCAGCCAGCGCGTGTCCTTCCTCAAGCCGCTGACCCGCTCCAAGCGGGACTCCACCTACTCGCAGCTCTCCCCCAGACACTACTACTCAGGGTACTCCTCCAGCCCCGAGTACTCCTCCGAGAGCACGCACAAGATCTGGGAGCGCTTCCGGCCCTACAAGAAGCACCCCCGGGAGGAGGTGTATGTGGCTGCCGGCCACGCCCTGCGCAAGAAGGTCCAGTTCGCCAAGGACGAGGACCTGCACGACATCCTCGATTACTGGAAGGGGGTCTCGGCCCAGCAGAAGCTGTGACCCTCTCCTTCCCGGTGAGGCCGGACGGGGGAGGGTTGGGGGGGGCCCCCACGGGGAAGGGCCCCGCAGCCGGGCAGGGGGGAGGGTGTGGCGCTGGGGGCCGGGGCCGAGGAGCGGACGCACACGCACACCCGCACGCACGCACCCATGCACACACCTGACCACCACCTGACTGTGAACAGCCACCACCCGACAACAACGGACAGGAAAACAGAGACACGTTCTCCTTCAAGTTTACACACTGATACCGAAACCAGTCGTCTTTACTGTGCTGCCCAGGGACTCTGCGGGGGTGTGCCGGGCTGGGGAGGGCGGGGCGCAGGCCAGGAAGCCCCAAGGGGGTGTGGGGTCTGGGGCTCTGGGACTAGGGACAGGTGTGGGGCAGAAGAGTCTGGGGCGGAGAGAGGGTCCCCCCCCCCCCGACTCTGGGGACAGGTCACTTGGGGATTGAGCACCAGACAGACATTAGGCCTTGTTTCCTTTCTTTTATGGCTGGGGAATCTGAGGCCCGGAGAAAGAAGGTGATAGCTCCAGGGCCACATGGCAGTTTAGGCAGTTTTGCTGTCTCCCCCCACCCCCGCCACCCTTCGTCTACTCGCCACCCCCTTCCAGAGCTGTGGTCTCTTGGGGCTGAGGGACTTGAGAATCAGGCAGGTGCTTTTCCTTTCTAGAAAGCCCCATGGCCACGTCCCCAAGTGTGGAGCTATGATTCATTACGCTGGGGGTCCTTCGCCAGGCCCCCCCCGCCCAATGCCAGCACCCAAGAGAGACAGGAGGTCTGGCTTGCAAGAAAGGAGCAGAGGCACAGGGCCATTCCACCAGCCCCCTTCAAGTGTCTTCCAAGTAGCCTGGGGGCTGCTTCTGGGGTCTGAGAAGAGAGCAGGTGGGTCCACTCTCACCACCTCTCAGGTGCAGACCCCTTCACCCCAGCCCCCTAGCCTCTCTTGGCCTCTAGGACCCTTCCTTATGCCAGAAGGGCAGCAGTGAACTGTGTTGCCTGGGAGCAGTGGGGAGGCAGGGTATTGGGGGGGTGGGTCTTCCTGCCTGTGTCCCCACATCCTGGCCTCCCACCTGCCTGATCCTGTTATGGGATCTTGGGGCCTGCCCAGGGGAAGGAGGGCTTTCCCAGGCTTACTCACCCACCACCTCTCAGCTGCCCATCCCTGCCCCGCCCTCTGACTAGAGAGGCTCCCATGTTTCCATGGAAATGGCCGCTCCTCCCCTTGCCGACCCCCACCCAACATCGAACAAAGCACAAACAGTGAGCACCACCGCCACCCCTTGCTGGAGTGGGGGGGGCGGGAGCAGGCAGGTTCGTGGGGCCCCTCCCTCTGCCTGGCCAGCTTCTGTCGCCATGGCAACCCAAGGCCTGGCAGTTGGGACTGTTGGGCTCCTGGGGGTTCTCTGTCAGTGTGGGTGGCAGAGGGTGGTAAGGGAGAGCAGGGTCAGGTGGCTGCAGCCTTTCTCAACAGCGAGGGGCTTTCAGGGTCGAGTCTGGGTGGGGGCGGGAGGTGGGGCAGATCTGGGGTCCTGAGACTGTGGTCTTGAGCACACCGTCAGGGTGCTGAGAAGCCCTTCACCTTTGATAAGGACCTGGGCCAGTGGGGGTGGGGACAACTATGGCCTTGGCCACCTGCCCACCTGCTCCCTGGCTCCCCACCCAACTCCCGATGGGGAGGAGCCCACTCACCTCGCCCCACAGCCCTGCTGGAGACCCTCCAGCCTCTGGCCTATCACCTCATTGGGTTTCTTGAGATCTGGGGCACGTGGCTATGGGGTGAGGGTGGGCATTGGGGTGAGACTAAGACCTTTACTGTGTGTGGGGGTTGCTGACCAGGAAAGCTAGTGCCATCTCCTGGGTTGGGGGGGGGTCTAGTGACCTTCCTGCCAGGAGTAGAGTCTGGGGCAGGACTGTTGGGGGGAGCTGCTAGGCTCACAGGAGCGCCTCCCTTACACCCACTTGGGGGACAGACCAAGCCCAGGGCTCACTTTGGGGGTGACATTTGCAAAGAAAAGACTGTTCTGGGGAGTAGAGAGGAGGGGGCCAGCGTGGACGTGCAGAGCAGACCTCCCTCAACCCCCGAAATCTGCCCCCTCAAGCCTGCCTCACACCAGATTGGCAAAACTGAGAACAGCAAACGGGCAAAGCCAGTGGTGTGAGGAAGCAGACTCCTGTTATATTTGCATGACGATTTTACTGTATTTTTCTGAGCAAACATCTGTCGTATATGTGCCAGTTTGTCTAGACTCCCAGCACCCCCCCCCGCCGCCCCCTCTTGCCCACGTTCCCTCTGTCGTGATCTGACAAGCAGCTCTTGAAACCTGGGGAGGGTCCAGCTCTGCAGAAGACCCAAAACAGGTGCCACTGAAACGCAGCCCCTGCCCCGTCCTGGTCTCCTTTCTCTCTGAACGTTGGGCCCACAAGTGCTGCCTTGCCCCTTGGGGCCCCCAGTTTCCTGCCCTCGCCCTTTCCCCCTCCTCCCTGCCAGGGAAGGGAGCATGCTGGGACCTCTTTTTCCCACCTGCTGTCATTTTTCAGATGAAGACGTTGGTGGTCCCCCGAAGAGGGAAGGGCTGGGTGACTTGACTACCAGGCTGAGGGGTAGGACACGGTCACCTAGCTAAATCCAGGGGGCTAAGAGCTCAGGGCTTCATGGGGAGGCTGGGGGCCCTGCGGGAAGAACCCATGGAAGGAGCCAGGGCCGGGTTGGCCTGGTCTCACCGGAGATGGCACTTCCCACAGAGAGGGTTCCTGGCAGCGGGAGCAGAAGCCCCCCACCCTTGCCATTCCCCCATCATTCCTGGTTGACGATGGCCTATAAAAACCACAGACCATCTTTCTTTGGGGGTCTCTGTCTTAATAGTGAGTGTCTTGCCACTCCAGGAGGTAAACTGACCTTCCCAGCCTAGATCACACCAATCTTGGAGGCAGAATAGAATCGAACTCGGGCCTCTGGCCTCCTGGCCGGGCTGGACCTTCTTCAGCTGCCCTGATCTGGGAAAGGGGCCAGTGCACTGCAGCCCACCTTGGAGGCTTTCCTGCATCTGTGTCCTGTGTCCTCTTCTGGATCATTCTTCTCCAACAGGGAGCAAAATACGAAAGACAAATGAACACCTATGTCACAGAGTCTGGCCAGCTGAGGCCCCATGTTTGTAACAGCGATGAGCACGGCGGGCCCGGGGAGGGCTGGCAGCTAGGAGAGAAGGGAAGTAGGGGGTGATGGAGGAATCGGGGACAAGCTGGCCCGAGGAGATGTGGGCCTCCCGGGGGAGGCCTTCTTGCCTTGGGTCCTGCCTGGGCTTTGCTGTCCCTGTCAGAGAATCTCCAGAAGAAATTCCTGGGTGCCTGTTGCGGGAGAGTGGCACGGGGTGGGGGGTCCTCCCTTCACCTGGAGGGCCAGGACTGCTAACTGTCTGTTGGAGCTAATGGTTTTCCTTCCTGGAGTGAGATGCAGAGGTCTGGAGGGGGAAAAAAAAACAAACAAACCCCAAACCAAAACAAAACCTTAGTCTGCTGTGGATGCCTCCTCAGGAGTCCCAGGGCCCGCCCCTGCCTGCTGGAGGCCCCTCACCTCCTCATGCCTGCTAGGGGGCAGTGCTGGAGGCCCGTGGAGGCTGCCCGAGTCCAGGTGGGGGGGAGGTGGGGCATGGAGCTATCTGCGGGGCAGTGGGAGTGGAGAGACCCACTTGGGAAGAAGAGTAAGCCTGTGTAGCCCCAGAGACCGGGGACGCAGAGGAGAGTCTGGGCCTGGCTGAGGGTCTGTTTAAGGTTTTCGATGGGACGTCGCTCACCGTCCATCCCCACTCCTGAAAATTTAACAGTGCGGAAACAGAAGCTCAGAAAAGGGAAGGAAGGAAGTCTTCTAGGGTCTCGAAATCAGTTAGGGACGTGGGTCCAAGATGGCAGCCAGGCATGGGGGGACAAGAGTCACAGGCCCCAGCTTGTAAGGGGCGTCCGTGCAGAGAAAAGTTCCCCAGTGAGGGACACTGTGCAGAGAATTAAAACAAGGTGATAGAGCAGTGAGGGGCTCAGGGACCCCCTGGCAGGGGGAGGGGGGCGGGGGGCACGAGCCCAGAGGACTGACCAAGAGGACCAGACCAGAGGAAGAGGGTGACAGGTGGCTGGATGTCCCGAAGAACCTCCTCAGGTGTCCCCACTCTGCGCGCCCACCCCCGGCCGAGGGAGCCTGCCCTCAGCAGCATCCCACCCCATTCGTGGCTGAGCGGGGCTCTTTCTGGGTAGAAGCCCTGGGTGGGGGGGGGGGGGGCGGGTCTGCCTCCCGAGGGGCTTACAGGGGCAGGGCTGACGTGTGCCCACCTGAAGGACTGCTTTCTCCTCCCCAGCAAGACTTCTGCGCAGCGCCCTCCGCCCTCCCGCCCAGGAGCTGCCGTGCTCCTTGTCCTCTCTGACCCTGTGTCCTCCCACCTTTAAGACAGAACCAGTATTTACACTTCTTGCCTCACAGGCCTCATTAAAGGTCCCTCATTGCTGCTGAGCAGAGGGAGAGGAACGGGGTGTTGAATGGGGTGGGCGGGAGGCTCTGGGCCTCCTCTTGTTTCTTTTGCCCTCGCCAAACAAGCACAGGGCTGGACAGGGGCAGGGGTCTATCCTCGCTGCCTCCCTCCCTCCCCCCCCCCCCCCCTTCCCCCCCCCTTCCCTCCCTAAGGAGCCGCCAGCCCCGTGGGCCCTGCGGCTTGGCACCTGGTTTGGGGGCTGCAGAGGGGACTCCTGGCCCTGGGCTACGAACCTGTGAACCCTAGCTGTGTGTGGACCTTTCCTTCCTCGGGGGGGCCCAGAACCTCTCCTTTTCTTCTTTTAGGGGGGTAACTTCATTTATTTTCTCTTCCCTATATATGCCTCTCCCTCCTCCCGACTTCCTGTTTTAAACTGAATGGCACGAAATTGTTTTCCTCAACTCGGAGATTCCTGTATGGAGAGAATCAATTTCTATATTTGCAATAAATTTCTTATTTAAAACAATGGGGCCAAGGTCTGTGTTGAATGTCGACCCCCTTCCCCCCGCCCCCGCCAAGCGGGAGTCCCAGGACCCCCCATTTCCCTTTCTCACCAGAGTCCCACACACAGGGTTGAGGAATGAAGCCCCCTCGATGGGCAGTCACCCCCCATCCCATCCCGCCCCAGGGTCAAGGAAAAAAGCAGTGTGTCTGTCAGAGGTCAGGGGCCAGCAGGAGACGAGAGGGTTCTAGTCCCCCCCACAACCCTCAAGCCTGGCGGGCTGGGGCCTTATGGCACCTCTTCCTTAAAAGCCGGGAGGCCCTCGGCCAGCTGCTGCGTTCCCCACCCCGGGTGCCCTGGCCTCCATCGTCCCTG